TAACATTGGGATGTTTTAATTACTGCTGAGCAGGGCTTACACAGAGTCAAGGCCTTTTCTGCCTCTCACCCCAACGCACCAGCGAGGAGGCTGGGGGGTGCACAAGAAGTTGGGAGGGGACACAACCAGGACAGCTGACCCCAACTGACCAAAGAGATGTTCCATTCCATATGATGTTATGCTCAGCATAGAAAGCTGTTTGTTTTTCCAAGTAACTGTTACGCATGATGGAACCCTGCTTTCCTGGGGATAGTGGGAAGGAGGGAATTAATTCCTTGTTTTGCTTTGCTTGTGTGTGCAGCTTTTGCCTTACCTATTAAACTGTCTTTATCTCAACCCACAAGTTTTTTTCTCACTTTTACTCTTCTGATTTACTCCCCCATCCCACTTGATGGGGAGTGAACAAGCAGCTGTGTGATGCTTAGAACCGGCTGGGGCTAAGCTATGACATTGTTTTTTCAGAGTTAAGAGTTTTGGTAACTACTGGTAAGATAAGGAATTTCTGACAGGACATTTACCAGCTTTGATTGGTTCTTCATTCAAGTTGGACCCAGAGGTCTTTAGCCAGATAGTAGGAAGTAAATAATGAGATGACAAGATGACAGTTTTTTGTGTTTTTTTTTAATCTTAAGGCTCACTGAAGTTGTTCGGAGCAGTCTCATTAATTTAGGCAAAGCTATTAAAGGCCAAGTGTTGATGTCATCTGAACTTGAAGATGTTTTCAACAGCATGCTAATGGGAAAAGTACCATCAATGTGGGCTGCCAAATCCTATCCATCGCTGAAGCCACTGGGGAGTTACGTGTCCGATCTGTTCTGTCGTTTGGTCTTCTTCCAGGTATGCTAAACTGAGACTGACAGGTCTAAGGACTCAGTAGTTGAAAGCTGAATGGGTAGGCTGAATGGGTAGAATGTCTATCAGTACTGTCCTCACTCAGCAGTACCCTTATAGCTCCAGATTTTGAACTACTTGCACATACTCATGAACAGATATATTCTGCATTAAGAGCATTGCAATTAGCTGTGCAATTGCTCAGCATGGTGAGTTGGGAGTATAATCCTTTGGTGCTAATCCAGTGCTGCATTTGGTAGTTTCCATTTTTCTATTTCTAGAAGATGCATTTTACTTTGCACTGATGCCTTAATGACTTCCCTGCTCAAAGGACACTGAACCAGGCATGAGAATGCTTTAGAAACAGTGCATAACAGGCACTATTAAATTTTATATATATGACTGTAAATCTCTTTTTAATAAAGTTTAATAAAAAGTGACACCACTTCCACACACTTACTGAACAAGCTATTTTATTTCTTCCTCACCCTTCCATTATTTCCTTTTGCACTCTTGGCGCTCTCTTTAAATTACTCAAGGTTTCAGATGTACCTTAAATAGCTGAGGTACTGAGATGGGGGTTGGACTAGATGACCTCTAGAGGTCCATTCCAACCCAAAACATTCTATGATTCTATGTAGTGGAACCCTATAGAAGCAGAGGAGGAAGCTAGAAAGAAGTGTCTGAAAGATTTGTATAAGCAGCAGAGTTTCCTGTTTGCTGGATCAGAGTACCATATGGGCTTCTTTTGACTCCAAATGGTTCAGAGTAGTGTGGGGACATTCTGCCCTTGCCTTGTTTTTCTTACTGCCTTTGTGGTATCCTACAAGGATCTCCTTGTCTGGCATTTTTGTACTAGAATGATTTCCTCTACTAGGATCTGATGTGTTGCTCTCGTGAGCGCCCTCACAGTGATCAGTGAAGATGCTATGTAAGAAAATTTGGCCTTTTTTCATGTTAGAAGACTGGTGTTTACAAGACCATAAAAGAGGGTATATTGATAAAAGTGTCCAAATCAAATCTTTTTTTTTTTTTTTTTTGCTGGCTAGTATCTAGACATACCAAAAGATGTTTATGCTACTTTCTGAAATTTTTTTCTTCTTAGTAGCACTGAGTTCTGGTTGTTTCAGAATGTTGCTGTCATCATAAATAACTGACTTCTGTGATTTGTTGTCTTTGAAAAATATAGAACTAATGGTAGTATCCAGAGGGTCCCATCGAGATTTAGATCTCATTGTGCTGTTTGAGCGTATCTGAAAAGACATTAGTTTTCTGGTGAATTGGCACAGTGAAGCCACAGAATGTTTTTTTTTCTTGTGTTTGTTTTTTCTCTCCATATTCAGGATTGGGTCATCAATGGGCCGCCCACAGTCTTTTGGCTCTCAGGATTCTTCTTCACTCAGTCTTTTTTGACAGGTGTTTTACAAAACTATGCCAGAAAATACACCATCCCAATTGACCATATTGGATTTGAATTTGAGGTAAGAGATTTTGTTTTTCTTGAACAGCTTGGAACATGTTCTGGGGCAGCAAGGAATAGAGTTTTCAGATGAAAAGAAATTTTATTTAAAGGAGTAATTTCAGACTATCACTTATAGGATTTAATACACTCCAGATAAAAATGAAATCAAGCAATGGTTTGATCATTCTAGGTGATGAAACAGGAGCACACAATGGAGCAAATGCCAGAAGATGGGGCTTATGTGAGAGGCCTTTTTTTGGAAGGTGCACGATGGGATAGAGAATCCTCGGTAATTGGAGAATCACTTCCAAAAATCCTTTATGATTCTTTGCCCATAATTTGGCTGAAACCTGGAGAAAGTTCTAGATTTCTTCATATGAACATCTATTCATGCCCTGTATACAAGACAAGTGCAAGAAGAGGTGTCTTATCCACTACTGGCCACTCAACCAACTATGTTCTGTCAATTGAACTCCCTTCAGACAAGCCCCAGAAACACTGGATAAATCGAGGTGTGGCAGCACTATGCCAGTTAGATGACTGACAGTATGCAAGTCAAAACAACTCGCGTTTTGTTATTAAAAGATACACTTTACTCCCCAATGGCTGCAGTTTTTTTTTTTTTT